GGAGTTGTTGGAGTAAAGTAAAACTAACAGAGCACTTTTCATGTGAATTTCGAAAACAACTAAATTGATATTAGATACCTCATTTGTACAACACTTTTTTACTGTATGATCAAACTATATTTCTGAAACTCAAGGATAAGTATATAGTATAAGCCGGAACACCCGGTTGGTAAAATCTTCATTGTAATTCACGCAGTAGTTTTTTTGGAATATGTCATTTATCTTTTAACCTTTAGTATAAAGTATATTAAAGGTGTATGAAGTTACCTCATCATCCAGTAATTTTCGTACCGCTATAACACAGAATCTAGGACATGGCCTATAAGTCATTCAAATTTTACTCAAATTCGTACAGTCGTGTGACAAACATTCAAAAATCTTTACAAACTTTCTGGTGATAATACTAGTATGGATAAGCACTAGTTGGGGATACAGATGTAACTAATATGAAGTATAAATAAAATAACACAAGAAACTGTCCCGTTTAAAAAAAATTATCGCCGAGAGTAATACCTGTCGCAAACATACCGAAATATATTTTACGATAACCTAATAAAAAAATCTATGTACCGATGGGTAAAGCATTACATGTATTCTTATAATTGTACTATTAAATGGAGTGGAGTGTAGCGTTGCCCTAATTATCCTTGCCTTCTATGCAATTTTTATTGCCACTGTGAAACTAATTGTTGTTAGATTTCGATTAAACATCTACACAGATAACTTACTTAGGTGAACATTGCATATACACGGTTCATGTGATATTTTCATGGATATAAAAATTTTGATTTTCATATACCTACAAATTAGTATAACATGAATATAAAAAAACAGGCGTCAACATATAGATCGTCACGTATTTAACGATTAGCATATATTATTTACAACATTAAGACGTGTGTATCGACTAATGGTAAAATGTGAGTGTGAATTTTTTATGTTATCTCCATGTAAGGTCAAAATCTCTATGTAAGGTCACATCACCATTACTATTATTCGACCAGAAAGCGTTAGGTATATTAAAATCTCCTAATATAATGAAGTAGTCATCAGGGTAAGAGAGAACTTCATCAGGGATATGTTCATAAAAGTTTGACAACACATCTTTATGAATTCGACATTGTGAAAAATAACAACAGTATATGTTGCATCGTGTATGTCGTTCAAATGAAATAGAAACACGAATTACGTCAGCAGCTGAATCTGTTGGCGGGATGCATTCAACGTTAGTGATCTTTATATTACGTCTGATTGCAATCAGAACACCTTCACCCATTGTATCACCTCTGACTTTGTAGTTACGATCGCTTTTATATACGTAATACCGTGCGTCAAATAGTTCTACGTCGAATGTACCCGAATGTAACCAAGTTTCAGTGAAACAGATTATATGATATCCCTCCCTCGTGACATAAGACCTTTATATTGATGATCTCTTATCGGTAACCGTCGTCGAGTAAATATTTGCTTATATGATGGTTTTTATTGCCGACCAGGAAAAAAAATCTTCAAATGCGAATATAACATGCAACTGCAACAGTTATTGGCATGTGTCCAGACTTTTTTGTGAATTTTATTAACTAACAAAAAAAAGTTTGGAAAATCCAAAAGTTCGCGAATCATAATGCTATGAAAAAATGTCGAAAAAATTCTCAATAGACAATATAAAGTTTTCTTTTTTAATTTTACTATGTTTATATTGGCATTAAAATATTGTTAATTGAAAACACTTTTAACAGAATTATCTTAAAACGATCGGAAATCAACTTTAATATTATTTTAATTTTTAGGTATTTGTACAGAGGTATTATCGTAAAAAATACTATTTTTTACCTGACTCGTTGATAAAAAAATCTCATCAACTTTTTTTCGTTTTCCAAAAGCAAAAGCTTTTCATCTAGTCATAATCAGTATTTCAATTTAGCATTCACCAAAATCATATAGGTGATCACAACCACCCAATCTAGGACTCTTAAATGTACTCTGTAATGAAACGAAAATTAGATGGAATGACTAACTGAGAAATAATTCAGGCAGTTTATGGATGCAAGCGTTGCTGACCTGTAATGAATGTAAAAAAAAGTGCTAGATTTATTTTTGCCGTCGCTGGTTCGTATATTTGAACTTCCAAATCTACATGAAAATAATGAAAGAGTTCAAATAATATTCAATAACATACTTCGATCGTGTGATAATCTTATTCAAATTATTTAGAGGTCTGAGAGTAGGTAAAAACTGAATATCAGAATTCCCTTACATTTATAAATAGAATTATTTATATGTGTGTGTGTGTGTGTGTGTGTGTGTGTGTGTGTGTGTGTGCGTGTGTGTGTGTGTGTGTGTGTGGGGGTGTGTGTTTTTGTTTGTGTGTGTGTGTGTGTGTGTGTGTGTGTGTGTGTGCGTGCGTGCGTGCGTGCGTGCGTGTGTGGTGCGTGCGTGGTGGTTGGGTGCGGGCGCGTGCGCGGCGCCGGGTTTGTGTGTGTGTGTGTGTGTGTGTGTGTGTGTGTGTGTGTGTGTGTGTGTGTGTGTGTGTGTGTTTGTGTATGTGTGTACGCCAATAACAAGTATGTATTATATTCAGGCTAAATTAGTAACTGTGTAGTGTCTACCGTAAAACTGAGTAACTTTATAACCAGTTTTAACGGTAACTGTAGCGTTAACTTTAACACTTTAATTAATAGAACTAGATAGTTAAAAATCTAAATTCATTAAATGCCCAGTTGCAATCATATTACTGCCAAGCTTTTTATCAAAACTGTATAAAATTTTATAATTCTTTTGCAAAACAGAGCAGGGCAAAGCTCCTATCGCACTACGCCCACGTCCTAATTGTCAATGCAAGGCTAGTTGTATTGCTAGACTGTCGGTTTGTATATTGCAGGCTAGTTTCATAGGGTAGTAAAATTACAGATAGGTCACCAATGCTTTAGTACTTACCTTTACTATATTAAAAGTTGAAATTCTACCTGAACTGAATATGCTAAATAAGTAGAAGCAACTAACACAAAAGAAATTAAATATATTTTTGTAGTGTAGTGAGTTTAAACATGTTCAGATAAATCGATGCATTCTATTAATTCTACGATAATCAGCATTGGTCATAATCATAGAACACTATAGTATATACACAATGAAACGGGGGAGTTGGCGGTGTCCGTGTAGCCAGTAACATGTCATTTCACACCTATTAATATCAACACAACTCTTTTGATGTCACAGTCGTTGCCCAATTTTTTGATCAAGCGTTGCTTGGTGCAATTTATTACAAAACCACCAATTTGTGCAATAATTACGTATCGAGAAAACAGCCGGTGTGGAATTTGAAGAAAAGTGGTATATCCTTTCATCATTATCCGGAAAATATTGTCCCTTTTTAAATTAAAGTACTAGCTGAACCGTATAGCAATGGCGACCTCTTTGTTACTTTACTTCACTTTGACACCAACGCAGCATTATACAGCTTACGTATACCGTAACTAAGCAATGGCAAAAAGTGCGCGCGATCTTTAGGTGCAGGCGGTGCAGGGAGCATTAAAGAGCTGCTTTGTGTCCACGCATGAGAGGTCTATTTTCAGGAGTGGACTTTTATACGCTGTAATGGAATTGTATAGCTCATTTTGATACTCTACAAAAAATACAAAAACATTCCGATTTGAAAAGTAAAGGTAAGTGCGAGTATGTATGTATTTAACGTATATAAATGGCACACAAAATAAAAAATTCACATAATTTTTATTTTCTGCCGTGCTGTAAAATGAGACATGTAATTGATTTTTTTAATATTGTCTTTGCTATTTTTATTTGTAAGTTTACTGTATTCAAGTAATAAGAAAATGTAAATTATACGTACCAATTAAACTTCATGAAGTTATTTTCTTAAATTGAAAAAAAAATGTTCACTTAGTTCGTTCAGTACAAATATAAAAATAGAAATACCGTTTTAAAACCAGCTTTTACTTAATGAACTTTGTTGAATGTGGGTGAAAGTGTGCGTCTGCGTATACATGAGCGTGTGTCTGTGTGTACGTGTGTGAATGCGTTTGTTTTTGTGTGTATTAATAAACGATGAATGGTGATACGGAAAGACTGGTATAGGAACAGCTGCGCTTCAACTATTTTTCATCACTATTTTACACTTCATTTTGTTACACGTCATTCAAATGCAATTCTGCTTCCCGTTGCCGGACTGAGTATTTTCAAATGGTGTAAAAGAGATGGCTATATTTAGATCACTATCTATCAAAAGCTATGATATCTTTCTGGAATCTCTCATAGTCAAGTTACGACACCTGAGTACATAGTACTATTATTTATTCTGTGACCCGAGGTAAAAAAACGAAGTTATTGATTCTCTTGTGCTACCACCGAACTACACATAATAATTATATGAACATTAACAAAAGTTACAGCCAGAGATGTTTCGTTGTTCGCTCTAATGGTCCCAAGACAAGCTGATAGAAGATACAGAAAATGTCTACTGCTTTCGAGACTTTGCTTAAATATGTTATATGAAATGCATTCATGATTTTTATATAAAATGATGGCAATGGATAAATATTGTAACATTGGACAAAAGACATATTATTGAATAAAACTAAATTTACGGATTTTATCGCGTTTATTTAACTGATTTTACTTATTTTTAATTCCCGACATTGCGGGTGCTTTACAGCACCCATGGTCAAGGGGGAAACGTCGGGAATTAAAAATAAGTAAAATCAGTTAAATAAACGCGATAAAATCCGTAAATTTAGTTTTATTTAATGTGTAGTGTTCGCGTAAATTTAAGAAATCAGAAATATTTTTCTTTGACTATTATTTTCAATATTACAAAAGAAAAATACAGGACAATTTCAGACAAAAAATATTCATTGCTTCTTCATTTATTTATATTATTAGAAATGTGTTCCTTATATAAAATATAACATTTAAAGTGGTGACCGATTTCCATTTGACCTGTTTTATATACTTTAACCGAATGACGTCCGTTGGATACTCACTGAGCCGTGACAACTTGAATGCATCAGCGGTATTAATGACATCGACGTAAGCCTGGAGCTCCAAGCGCCTGCTGCTAATGTTCTGGTTATGTACCGTCATCGCGTATTTGAAGACATTTTGTATTTCCTCGGTATTTTGATCAAAAATAGCGCCTGAAAAGAAAGATACATCTTAGTGTTTTGATATTAAAAATGCTGTGACATGTCCTTTTATAAAGGGACAAACAGGATAAAAGTCCATCTAATGTTTAAGCATCTGATACCTGCAGTTGAATCTACACAAAAATGATACTGGTTTAGACCTTTTCAAAGAATACGTTAACTGGTATGTTGGCATGCTTCGAACATATTTGCTCATACCCAATACGTTGGCTACGCAGGCTTGGAAGTGCAGGTAGTACCATCACAAGGGTAATTTACTCCCTATAATAGTTTGTTGGATTTGGATTCCAATATTTGAGTTGATTTTCTTATATAATAAGGGTGCAAATGAGCACACAGTCCACCTGATGGTAAGTGAATGCTGTGGCCGATAGACATCTACATTTATCCTCGATTAAGAATCAAAACGTAAATGCGTTTTCAGCCCTGAAGACAAAGATAGAATGTCTTGTTTCCAGTAAAAAGGGGTCTACGGATCTCTATATTCACCATACGAAACACAGCCATATTAAGCTGTTATTTTACGCTGGTATTCTGTGAGAGCGTGGTCCTTCCCCTGTCGAACCGAACCAATCGTGCTACTACCATAATATAACTGCAGCGTAGCTCTACCACGTAAAAATCGCCAATTATATAATTATGATATATCGCCAATTCTCAGCCACCATAGCCTTATTAGGTAGTAGTTAGCAGAACGCACCGGGTAAACTACACTGAGCAATAGGACTTCTATGCTGCCTAGAAGTCTATATGCATGGCTATATCTTATTTTATAAAACGTAACCCTCACACTAGGACTTTCTCCCGTATGGTGGAGGCAGTTTAAAAACATAAACTGCACAAGGAAAACATCTAGACCCAAATATTTATTGGCCATACATATACTTGTTCCGTGTGGGATTCGAACCGTAGCCCCCAGCGCAGCAAATCGTTCCAAGCCACTGCGCCACGGAACCGTCAATCAATACTACTTCCAATCTACTCTTCTTTAAAACAACGAAATGTATGTAAGATTAGTTTATAGTTGTAGACGTACCACGTAGTATTTTTAGTTACAACTTAGAAAATTCAGTTCAGTTTATAAAAATCATAATAAATTATTTCTAAAGCAAAGAACACCCATTGGTAGGTTTTATCTAACTTATAAAGAAAAGTCAGTGGGGGACCGTATTTTGGAAAGCGTCATAGTCTTGAAATATAGTCGCTGACCGAATCGTTTATCGGAATCACTGAAGCAACCGCTCACTTGCCCCTTTAATGCCAACTGAATCCGCAAGTCCGCTTCGCTTCACGTGGTTCGAAACTATCACGATGCCTTTTTTCACTTCAACTGCGGACGGACATTACGCCCTAAGAGCCATTCTGAATCGCTATATCCAGCAATATTTCTTCCATTTGCAACGTCATTTCTTTCTACGTTACTAGATTTTTCAATGTATATACTTCTACTTTTGTCATCTATATTCTTTTTCATACAATAAAATGAATTATTTAGTTTTTACAACAGAAATATTTTTAAGCTTTTAAACGCTTAATCAAACTTTTATAAAGTATAAAAATGTTCTCATATAACTGAGAAAAAGAAGAATTAAGACAAATTAAACAGTCCGATGATTATTATATAATAACCGGGTACTGTAGTAACCGGGTAGTAGTGACGTAATATAATCCAATAGCCTTTATAAAGATGGGCCGTAATCTTCCTAATAAATACTCAAAATTATATTTAAAAATAAAGCTGCGTTTGTCAAGCCGCTAGTCAAGTGTTACAATAAAACACAAAATATCTCAAGCATGTGGCAGCATCCCGACTCACCACTCTTGCTTGTTTCACATTCATAAATTTACACAAACATGCTCTAGGTTAGTGCTACTTTTAACTTGGCCTGTCTTCATCGCTAATTTGGTCAATAAATATCCCTTTCGGAGGTCTAAACACGGAGAAAGAAAGTAATGAGAAAAGAGGTACGAAGCAAAGGAGATGGACAAAAGTTGTATGAACCTGTGCCCTAGACTGTACAGAGATGAAATCTATGTTATTTGAAAGTACAAATCTTCAATATATAGAATTAGAAAAGTGCATGTAGCTACGCAGTAGTGGACAAAAGTTATGAAGATTTAAAAAAGTTGATTTTGGCAGTCGGTTTTTATCATAATTACACAATGTAGATATTAATAAAGTTCCAATTCATGAGTGTTATGTAGGTTAATGTATTGCATGATGATAATATGTATCCTAATTGGTTTAGCTAAAAAAAACAAGGACAGCAGTTTTTTTAGTCTTTGAAATTATTATTTGTAACAAGTTTTTGTAACGTAACTATTATGGATCGTAGTATATTTGACAGAAAATAATTAAACTTACGTATTACACCGTTTATAAATAGTGGAGCGCACTCACGTGGGGCTACGGCACTTATTAAATAAAAGTAAAATACGATAAAACATAAATACGAAGGAAAAGCGTAGGTACATACTCGTATATCATGTACCGAAAAATGGCACGTAAGTCGGTAAACGTGAATCAGATCAGATCAAGTCTGACATTAACACTTTGACTGTTTTGATGCTTGATGGACGGATTCAGTGTTACAAGTACTAAAGTAAAATAACCCTATCCTATAATGTAACGCTACATGTTTAAGCTGTTGCTGTATTAAAAAAAAACCCTATCTTTTAGTGTATTTTGATTATTTTGATGTATTAATTCATTAACTGAAGGCTAGTTTTTATATATAACATATCATAAATAAAGCATTTTTATGAGTTCAGCTATTGTTTTTACCCTACTCCGATCTTTTTAAGTATTATGTGGCCACATTAAAGGTGCTATAGAGTGACTTCAAAGAAAAGAAATCACTTTAAATATTTTTAAATTTGATTATTTTTCAACAGCTGCTATGAAATCTTAATAGTTATTCAAAATTCTTTATTTATTTTATTTAAATGCATAGCAATTGTCTTATTTTTGTACAGCTTGGGGCACATTTTGGCCATCTCATTTACGCAGCGTAAATGAGATGGCATATGTGAGTGACAGAGTCGGCAATGGATTTTCAATACGGAAATGAGGCCACAATGGCAAATATCTTCCATATGAGGCAATCTACGGGGTGATCCAATGTTCAGAAGTGAACTTGGAAGGGGGGTTGGAAGACACTTGGATGAATCGATATAATAATATCTCATTTCATCCAAATGTTCCATAAGGCCATTGCGTAACATTAATGAAAATCAATTTTCTGTGATCTTTTTAATGTTTATTTTATCTACGACTAATGACGTATTCCTTAAAAAAGTCATATTTTTATTTAAAATGTGTCCTAAGTCTGCTTTTTTGGTGGTATCGGATTTTTCCCCTTCTAATTTATTTTTATTATAAAGCGGATTTGTTTGCGCTGAAAAGTATCTTACCTGACTGCGAGAGTCCAGCAACTTCATTAAAAGAAGATTAAAAGAAACTTTTTCGACGCTACAAAAGTGTTTTAAACCTCGAGCGTCCCGTAGCTGTGCCGTGAATTTTATGAGACGATAATAGCAAGTTGCAATATTACTGCAGTAGGAAAATTCTTATTATTTTTTACTTTGATAGCGCTCGTTTTGTTTAATCTTTTGCATAATCCTTGTAATTTTAAAAAGCTAGTATGCTTTAAAAGATAAGATATTTTAAACAATGCACATTTTATTGCAATTTTTTATTTGTTCATAGTATTTTGTAAATTTGTATACTAAAATACAAATGTAGTAATTTGGATATATATTTTATACTAAGTAATAGCAAAAATTGTAGATATAAAATATAAAAGATTTTAAAATAAATTATTAATTCTTCTGACCATTTTTGTTTTATTGTTTTCTTTTTAGAATTCCACTGACAAATTAACTTATTATTAACCGGATGAAAAGTGGCTTCAGTCCATCGACATCGCAGCCACCTTTAAACAAAGCAGACTACAGATGCGGTGTCACCCCTGAGGACTAAGATGGATGCCTCACAGTCTGTAATTGAACTTGCTTTCTATACAAATATATAATATGTAGAATATATATAACAAAAACACTCACGCCTGTCACCCAGAGGAGCAGGCAGAGACTACAGACTTCCATATGGCACGATCCTGAAATACCTCTCTCGCCTCCTCCACATTCATATACCTACGCATACACGCTCGTCGGTTAAGGGTATAATTTGGCCCATTTTCAATATATCGCCAGTTTGGTCGATAAACTTTCACCTAGGACGTCCCTTTCTGACTCTTCTATTCACGTCTGCAACATAAATTTGCTTTGTCACTCTTTCCTAATTCATTCATTCAACATGACCAAACCACTGAAGCATTCCATTCTTAATCCTGGTCACAGCATCATCTTGCAAACCACACTCATCTTTTATCACACAATTTCTCATCCTGTCACTCGGATTCAGCCCTACCATACGCTAAAGTAGGCACTAAGACAGCATTGTGAATTGCTATACGTGCCTTTTTGGACACATTCTAACTTTTCACAATAGAGTGTAGAGTCCAATTTACTTTATTTTCTGCGTTCAATAGTCTTTCTATATCCTTCATATCTCCCATCCTTTTACCATTCTCTTACCTCTCTTACATACTCTAAATTCTCTTACATTCATATATACACACATATATATATATATATATATATATATATATATATATATTTTTTTTTTTTTTTTTTTTTATAAAGTAAGAGAATGTTTTCTTTCACGGGGGCTCTATGCAAAAGGAAGACCCTCCTACAACTGTTTCACATTGATGTCTAAAATATTAATCCTAGTGAAATATAATGCATGTTTTCCTCTTAATCATATTTGCATGTATTATAATAAACTGATAGTATTAGTGGTAGATTTCAATGAAAAATTAGACACAAGAAAAGATGGTTAGCTAAAAGTAGGAAAATATATGAGGGGCAGCAAAACCCCAGGTGCTAAAAAATGGCAAACTTTATGAATAGGGGAGAACACTTTG